AGTCATAGATACAGCAACTTCCAGACAGCTAACGATTGCTTAAGAGACATCGCAACAATAATCTGGTCACACGGAGAAAAATGATGAAATGGAGGAAACAGAAGTTGCAATTCCTGCACTTTCATTGCGCCTCCTAATGCCGAGTGCTTTGAACAGATTGCTTTTTTTTGCCGAATGCTTTAGACTGAAGACGTGAACACCCCGAGGTGGTTAGATGACGTTACAGTCTGACACTGGTCTCATTTATTTCCGTCAACAGACCGGGCCCATACGTCTCACTCTCTCCATCTGGCAATGGCGTTATTTTTTGTTGTTGCCCAGTCTATCTCGGAAATAATCGTGAGTAATTGCTCAACGTTCAGCTCGATGTTTGACACATAAGCAAAGTAAAACAGGAAATAATGTGACCGTCAACAGTAACTCCTCTTATCCGTGGCCATTTGGTTGGACCAAAATATCGCAGATCCTTTCAACTGCGGGCCCATTCGCAATTCTAGTCCAATTATCCGTGAACATAATTCACGGGTAAGTGAATTAGCTGCGTGAATTATTTTCACGGGATTATCCGTGAGAATAAATCAGGGATAATCGCTGATAACAGGATGCCAATGCCTGCTGAACTCTTATCCTCAATGTAGAATGGGGAAATAAATCTCAGATAATTGTGCGTAATAAGAACAGCGTCACAGATAATGGGATTTTTTGTGGAACTTGTAAGTTAATTCATGTGTCATGGAAGTAATCAGCTGGATGGGGACACATTCAGCGAGAGGCACGGTTTGATGAATAAGGGACGTGACGGGAGGAAGAATGGACAGGAAAAGAATGAAAGGAAGAGATGGGGATTGAAAGAAGAGGAGGGTGGAGATCGGGGGGGAGGATGGAGATGATGGAAGCCAGGGACCTGCAGCCAAGGTAGAGCATCAGATAAGAGAAGATCGGTCACATCTCACGGATAATAGGAGCCGTGTGCAATAGGGGTCGTGGATAATCAGAGCGAGGATAATAGGGTCGCGGATGAGGGGAGTTCTCCTGTATGCAAACATGTACACAGCGTATGTGTGCGTATCTGTGTGTGTGTTTGTGTTGGCACAGAAGGGGGCACAGGTGGTGCATCTGCCAGTCATCTCAGTTCAGTCAGTAAACCCAATGGCACCTGGGCCTGTCCCGTGACCTCCTGCCAGCGGGCGTTCGACACTTCACGTGCCCTTAAAGTGCACATAGCCTGGCACAAGCGCCATGGTGACTTCACCACTACTAAGTGGTGAAATGGCGGTTGTTGCTGTTGTGAGTTGCACCTTGATGTCATGATTACGTTTTTACTGCGGTGATGTAATAACCACAAAAATACCACACGCCGTCTGCTTCGCAGTGGATGTTAGAGATGCCCTGACGTCATTCGCAAGTGGAGGCCCACTGTGTGCCAACGCCAGGGCCCAATTGGGATGTTACATAGCAAGCATCGCCCCCTTTTGTACGTATGTTGAACTTCTTTCGCACCGTACGTGGCTAGCCGTGCTAATCGGAGGTGCGGGGGGAATGACAACGCAAACTAACCACAAGAAGCAGTTTTTTTTAACTTAAGTATATCAATGTCTCAGGGCACTCTTGCAAATCAGACTCATCGTGGTATCTTGAGTCCTCAGCTGGTGAAACAAGACACACTCGAAACTCGAAGATGCAGCTTTTATACCAGAATAGCTAATTCAGTGATGAAATAAAAAAAAAAACGTAATTGTCTAAACTGAAATTGTTCTGCATCCTTAAAAAAAAAACACATCAATCCGTATACCATCTTTAGTTTACGTAGACAATGAATTCAACCACATTGATTGAAACGTGTCAATATACAACCACAGTACTGGTTTACACAGATTGTAAGTTGGTTAGCATGTAACAACGAACACATATTACATAGATTAAGATATTTTCAGTAAGTGAGTGCCCTTTAAATAATACTTAAACGTGAATGTTGTTGGTATATTTTATAAATGCAAGTTGTACAATTGGCATGTTATCATCATCAATTTTAGTCTTTAAATTATCTTTAGCTATTCTAAAATTTGTCACGGAAACTTATTTTTTTATAGGAGGTGCCTCATGGGTAAAACGAGCTGCTCGCAATCAAAAGGTTTAAAGGTCACACCCTGGTTAAGGGGTAGACTCCGTCCATCATCCCTCCAGGGTCAATAAAAGGAGTACCGCTTTGTTGGTGAGCCATCAGTGGTTGTCCTACGGAGTGACTCTCCGCTGACGTAGGATTGCAGAATTTCCACCACTGCCTCGTGGCTGTACACGGTAGATGTGTACAAATTCCACAATGCTCATTTGAGCAGGAAATCACCGTGGCTATTAAAACTCGTGACATTGCCATGTCTTTTTTCACTGCATACATATTTTTATTTTGCTGGACTATGTGCGTTCAAATGTTGCCAAACATCAAGCTCGGTTAATGATTCTACACGGTTGGTTGTTCAGATTATACGCGTTGTTTATTACGTTAGTTAAAACAATTAACTCCACCTTATTTGCGTGTCACAGATTTTGAAAGTACTGCGTAGGCTTTCACGGATGTGCTGCTCGCTGTGTGCAGCTCTGATGTGTTTTCTGCTTGCACCACGGGGCGTTGTATGGCACCATGTCCGACCATTTCGCTACACGTGCTGGGATGAATCCGAGAGGTGTTCAGCATATGAACGCCCACGCAGTTTGTGCTCAACCGTGTTGCATCAACATTGCAGGCGGTTTGTGAACTCGCACGAAATGTTAAACGGACAGTAACACCCTGTTGAAGCGATTGCAATGTGACCCTTGTCACAGCCACGCTATCATATCTTGCCAAAGGCCAACAGTATTATCACGGAAAGCTACGCCATATTCTCTACGTGAGTTTATTCATGTACGAGATGATGCACGAGTACACACTTCAGAGAGACCTCAAGCGAACAGCGACAACGTGTGCGCGTCAAGGTGTGCGGGTCAAGGTGTGCGGCGTGATATGCACATGCCACTCGATTACTTATTTCTAGACGAGACAGCATTGCCTTGTGTATATTAGACATCAACGTCGCTTGAAAGCGTATGAGTAGCGTCGGTCTAAATGATGCGCTGTATAATAAAGCCGTTAACTGAAACACGAATTGTCCATCTGCCATACACTTAACATTAAAAAGTGCAAATGTTCCTTTAGATAACTATTCACATACCTGAAGTTATTCCATCCCACCTTAACCTTGCATTGGCTTTACATGAATTCCGCTGAACGTCCGAAATGTCTCGGTTTGAATCGGGGGCTTTATTGTTATTCCCATCGCCCCCTTTGCACGCCTGCAATGCACAGACGCAGACTTTATAACAGCCGGTGGTGGCCCATTGGGCTAAGCAGCAGCTGTTACACAAAGGATGACCGTGTCAAGACGATCGGCAGTGAGGGCGGTTACATGACATCGCAGACAGGGAATCCTCGGATCTTAAGTGGCGAGGAGGGTAGGCGGATCACGAAGATGTATGTTAACGTCGCTACGAGGTAGTGGCGCAGCGAATGGATTCTTGAATATGACCCTTTGCGGATTGACCCCTTGGATAGGTTTTGGGTTTTTCTCCAGGCACTCTCTTGTCCTCCCACGTGAAAAGAACTCGCTATAAAGGACCTGGTTAAATATACAAGGACAGGACAATCCTTGGATTAAAAATAAACGTCTTAAGCTTCAGGAAACATTTGTCTGGATAAATAGCTTAATTTATTATCATGTCAATTCCTGTTAGTCTCAGTTTACTTTTAAATGTATATACTGTGCAAGTTTAAGTTTGACTAGTATATATTTTTACATGTATATATAATCTTGCCTTCTGCTAATACTGTACTTTAATGAAACTGGACCCTGTGTTGCACTCCGCTGTACAATGCGACCTCAATACAGGCAGCAGGACACACAAGGCGTCCTCTGATGAGTCACCAGGACCTCGAAGCTCTCTTCAAAGACACGTTCGATACAAATAATTTCTCGGACAAAAGCTCGCGGTGACCTTTCAACTCCTTTCTTGACCCCCCCCCCGTCCATCCTTCTCTCCCAAATCCTCATGTCCTCAACTGATCCTTTCCCTCGGCTCTCTGCGTTGGCTCTCACTCACTGAGGTGTGACGCTCCCGCCTCTTGGAATGTTCTAATCCCTTCCCTGCCGTTTCTCGCCCTCTTCTCATTCTACCCTCTCTCGAGTCTCACCTCGCCTCGTTTTACTCATCCATTCACCTTCCGCTAATCCTTCTCACCCCTTCCTTCCAGTTGCCTGCCTGCAATTGAGCAAGGCTGTCTCCCAACTATGAGTCATTGAATCTCCCCGCCTCCCTCTCGTCTCTCTTTCGAAGTGATATGATTTTGAGTATCAACTATAAATCGATGTCTAAGTTGGAATACCAGCTGATAACTTCAGAAGACACATTGTGAACTTATGTCTACCATATACTATGTATTCTTCAAAGGCAGTGTTTATTGATGAATGAGGTGAGTTAATTTAACACGTAGGCTTTCACGACCAATATTATACATATTAGAGGTTGTTGGGTTAGATCGCGTAAATATAAATTATATATAAATGTACGCGATCTAACGCGTATATTTGGAGAGTAACCCCACACCACACTGGTGTGATGAACTAGTAACGAATTGGTATGTTCTCTTTATAATACAAACCTTTCTATTTAGCTGTGTTGGGTGGTTGCTGGTTCAACGACACATTTATATTCATGCGATGTAAACCAACATTTCGATTATGAGGTGAGTCGATCTTCTTGGTTCTTTCGGTAAAGTCACGTAGAAGGGAAGTAATAAAATAATAAAAATAAAACATAATATATAAAGTCACGTAGAAGGGAAATAATAAAATAATAAAAATAAAACATAATATGTTTTTTAATTATTTTAGAAATAAAACATGTTTTATTTTTATTATTTTATTACTTTCCTTCTACGTGACTTTACCGAAAGAACCAAGAAGATGAATCCCTGCAGCCATGAAAGCTTTAAATCGAAAGGTGAGTCGATGTTTTAATTTGTGCTTGTGCACTACTGCCAATTACAGTTGCCTTGTTATCAATTTCTCCCAAGGTTTGTCAGTGGCTCGCGATCAGAAGGTTACGCGTTCAAGTCCTGGTTTAGGGGTTGATGCAACCCATCATCCCTTCAGGATCCATGAAATAAAAACCATTGCGTGGAAAAGTCAACAGTGGTTGTCCTACGGAGAGGCCTGCCAGAACTTCTGGACGATCTCCCTTCAACTCGTGATTGGCTTCGTAAGTAACTAAACGCGGTAGTGGATGACCCCGTTGAACATTGTCATGACTATGTTGTGAAAAAATACGAGACGGCGGTGAATCTTCTTGGTTCTTTCGGTAAAGTCACTTTACCGAAAGAACCAAGAAGATGAATCCCTGCAGTCACGAAAGCTTTACGGCGGTGAATGTTTTCTCCATTTATATTCATGCCTTTGTGTCCCCGATCCGAGTTTGAAAAACACCTTCGATAATTATTTCATGATGGGGTGTTCTCTCCATTTGCATACGTGATTATTGTTGGCATTAGCCAAGCTACCTGGTCTCCAGAGGCAGACACTGCAGCAGTGAGCATGGATGATTGTACTGTGCTGATGAGTCCTAACATTGGCAAAACCGGTGCACACTCTGTCTCACTGTTGCCTGTCAGTCATTCACATTTGGTCAAATTTATTTCGATGGTGACCTAGGACAAGAAAACCGCAATGGTTATAAATCAGTGCGTAATACCTGCCACGTCAAATGGATCCATAACATTGACGGAGAAAATGGAACACAACACCTGAAAAGTGTCCAAAGATGCTTGGGAGAGGTGAATGCTCGGAATTGAACTCTGAGGCAGAAAGAGGGACATGTGGATTAGAGAACATTGGCAAGTTGGAGGCATCGCGTTGACTGTGAAGAAAAGAGAGATGAATTTCGATTTAAAGCTTTCGTGACTGCAGGGATTCATCTTCTTGGTTCTTTCGGTAAAGTCACGTAGAAGGGAAGTAATAAAATAATAAAAATAAAACATAAAATAATTCTCACGACGTTTCGGCCACAACGCAAGTAGCCGTCTTCAGGTGAAGACGTTTCGACCACAACGCAAGTAGCCGTCTTCAGGAAAGAACCAAGAAGAGAAAAAAAGAGAGATGGTTGCATTGGGCAGGGCACATCGCGAGAATGGATCACAGTCGGTGGTTGAGACTAATGCCTGAGTGGCAGCCAAGGGACGGAATAACGCCCGATAAAGTACATCAGCTGCGGAGATGGAGCAATGGCATTACGCGATGTGCTGGAGCTGTCATGGGATAGGGCGGTGGCTTTGGGGGTGAAGGCCTTTCAGCATTAATATATCGTGGCTGCTGCTGCTGATCATGATGATGATGGCGCTTTGCGGTCATCTGCCCTGCGTGCAAGTTTATAAACAACAACGACAACTTGAAATGAAAAAATTACAAACGTGCACAGTTTTACGTGCGGGGATGTACAATGCGTGCAGATCGTGCACAGTCGATGCAAGGTCAGCCTGTGATGGGCTCAAGGATCTTCTGTCGACTTTACGATGAACCTGAAACAGTTCCGTTTATCATCATGGATCATCTGTGCATGCGTTTGCGTTAGCTCCTTTTGTGCAAGAATTTACTTTTGGAAAAGTAGAGAGAGAGAGAGAAAAAATAACTGCTCATTAAAAAGTAAATTGCCCATTAAACATGCTGACAAAAGAACCCGCTCTAGAGGGGCAGTTTATTCTGAGTGCTGATGACACATCCTCTCACTTAAACATGTGGAACTGTGAATCACGGAGTGTGTGTTGGTATTTAGTTGGTATAGTGGTTAGTGCACTGCGCTACAAACCCAGCGACCCAAATTTAATTCTCGCTCACGGCCAATACCAGCAGTGACGATTATCTGAACCGGTCCCGAGTCTCCCATAGGTCGATTTAGCCTAAATTGAGTACCTGGTGCGATGTGTAAAAACATCGCTACTGGGGAGACAAAGGCGGTCGGGCGTGGTGCTGGCCACCCACCCCTCGTGTGCCATACCGTCCTTCATAGGTGCTCACATAGAGCACTTGCCCAACAGTCTGTAAAGGCTATACTAGGGGGGATCTTTATCTTTGTTTGTTAGCATACACTGCCTTGCAAAAAGATAAAGTGACATAGAATACGCCTAACTGTTCCTTTCGCCTTTGACAAGTAGACAACATGTCAATGGAGCTGCATGCCCAGAGCTCTGTTTGAACTCATTCCATATCAAATAAAATAACCGGGGGGGGGGGGGGTAATGTTACCTCCCCAACGTCACGGACATTCGTTGTGAACTTTTGTTTAAGACTCAAGAGTTGTAAAATAACGAACGCTATTTTTCTTCTAAAATATTAAAATGCAGTTGTCTTCGTATTCATGATTACAAAGGTTCGAAACCGGCGTTATGTGTTGACCGTCGCCTTCACCGTTGCTTGTAAGGCCGTGGACCCTATGCGATCATTTTGCATCACTTGCAAACGTAAGCACTTAAGGCTGATTGCGTCGTTCGGGGTTACTCCGCTGCCTTCGCTGGCAGCAGCGTTGCGGCCGCGTGTCAATAGAACAGCCACCGATTGTGCTTTTTTTTCTCTCTCCTTTTGTTTTATTCGGAGCTCAAAGCAGCAGCGTTCCTCTCTCTCTCTCAAATGTCCGTGGCCCCGGCCACTTCCACGCTCCGCGCCCATCACGGTCGCGTTAATACGCGCAGCGTTCTAACCGCGATGCCCAATCGTCCGACTCTCGGTTGGAAAATGCTGTGAGTTCCAGTCCAATCCATCGATTCTCTGCAGTGGATAAAAATGGGTGAAGTGATCTTCACCTGTTGGCCTGCGGAGAGACTTGTCCCTCTACCATAGCACACGTGGACTTTCTCTCCCGCTGTCTCGGCGCTGCCCAGCGGAGATGCGCCTTACACAAAGTGCCTCGCGGACTAAATGACACTCGGGACTCTCCGGGCAGGTTTTTTTTCTTTTTTTCGAATCCATTCCCTTCATTTCCCCGACGTCTTTCGACACGCACGATGAGCTGCAGCGACACCGACATGCTGAACGATAGTAAACAATCGTGATAATATAAAAACTCAAGACGCGTACAGCTTCTACGACCGCCGAGTGCAGCGCCATCCACATAGCTCAACAACCCTCGCGTCTAGTTCTCATGACGACGACGACAACAACAACAACAAAACTTGAGTTTGAAAAGCCAACAAAATAAAACAACCACCGCCACCACACGGACGGCGGAGGAAGAAGACGACGAAACTCGGCTAAGTGGCGGCGGCAGTGGCGCTGTCGCCCTTCTCCCGCTCACGGTACACCTGGTTCAGCAGCTGGATCTCCTCCTTGTAGCCGCCGCCGTCGTCCGGCCGTTCCTTGCGGCTGTTCTGCCGGTGCGCCTCCACCGTGTCGGGGATGGTGATGTTGATGTCGCTCTCGGGGCTGTTGGAGGGGATGAAGAGCGAGTAGGAGGCGCTCTCGTCCAGGTCCACCGACACGAAGCGGTTCTCCTTGCGAGAGTAGCGCAGCGAGGGCGAGCGCGCGCGCGTCGACGACTGGCTGATGTTGCTCACGATGGACACCGTGTCCATCTTGTCGCCGTTGTCGCAGATCTCCAGCACCTCCAGGTGGATCTTCACGTTGGTGTCGCCGAGGCCGCCGCCGCCGCCGCCGCCGCCGCAGCCCCCCTCCGAGCTGGGCTGGTGCCCGACGCTCTTGGAGCGGTAGACCTCCACCTTGCGGGGCACGGGCAGCGCTTGCTTGCCGTCGCCGCTGATCTCATAGGTGGAGAGCGACAGCGTCTTGCCGGTGGGCGACTGCAGCGACACGGTGCCTTGGATGGCGCAGAGCGGAGTCGAGAGGCCGCCCAGACGCTGCGAGCAGAGACACGGGGTTGGTTTATTTTTTATTTTTGCGAGGGTGGTTTAGAAATCAGAATCAGAAAGGGGTTTTATTCGCCATGAAAGTTCGCACAGACGAGGAATTGACTTTTACTTTGGCCGGAAGGTGCATACATTCAACATATAGGAATCTTAAATCTGAAATAAGTGGTTTACAAGTCTAACTATACTAAAGGTACACGTCTAACTAATACTAAGGAGCTAAAGTATGTAAAAATTGAATAAAATAAAATCTAAAATATACAATAGCTATAATTACAATATAAAATGACAAAAATGCAAATAGGGTAACATAGTGCAAATATGTCAGGGTGTCATTGTGCAGATATTGTGTTAAAGTCAGTTTGAGCGTTAAAGTCAGTTTGAGCCCATGGCCTTGTTGAGGCGGGGGGGGGGGATGGAAAGAAATTCTCAGACAGCACTGCGGAGGTTGTCACGGTCGTGCCATACAGCTCCACGGATACCTGTCTGTGTGTGTGTGTGCGCGCGCGCGCGCGCGTGTGTGTGTGCGTGTGTGTGTGCGCGTGTGTGTGTGCGTGTGTGCGCGTGTGTGTGTGTGCGTGTGTGTGTGTGCGTGTGTGTGTGTGCGTGTGTGTGTGTGCGTGTGTGTGCGTGTGTGTGTGTGTGCGTGTGTGTGTGTGCGTGTGTGTGTGTGCGTGTGTGTGTGTGCGTGTGTGTGTGTGCGTGTGTGGTGCGTGTGGTGTGTGCGTGTGTGCGTGTGTGTGCGTGTGTGTGTGCGTGTGTGTGTGTGCGTGTGTGTGTGTGCGTGTGTGTGTGTGTGCGTGTGTGTGTGTGTGTGCGTGTGTGCGCGTGTGTGTGTGTGTGCGTGTGTGTGTGCGTGTGTGCGCGTGTGTGTGCGTGTGTGTGTGTGCGTGTGTGTGTGTGCGTGTGTGTGTGTGTGTGCGTGTGTGTGTGTGTGTGCGTGTGTGTGTGCGTGTGTGTGCGTGTGTGTGTGCGCGTGTGCGTCGCTTTTCGGGTCGTGCCACACGTTGTTTGGCACAATGTCCGACGTTTGTTCGTGCCACGCGCCGGAAGCTTCGACGTTAACTTCTTGGTTCATGAAGAAGCTTCTGCTACGTGGACAACTTGCCCAACAAAATGCGGTACAACCCCAACACGCGTGAAAGAGATAATGGTACGTAAATATATTCTTTGCTTTTACTGTTTTTACATGGCACCTTTTCCCTCGTAGGTCTCGGGGCCCCCTACATTTTTTATATAAAAACAGCAGTTTTCATTTCACACACAGACACACACACACACTTTAACCAAAGCTTTTGTGAACGAAAAACACTTTCATCGTTTCCCTAAAGCCCAGCAGAGTACGTGTGAGGTGCATCTCAGCCGGGAGGGAGTTCCAAAGTCTTGGCAATTCAACTAGAACATGTAATGCCTGATCCTTTTGAGTCGGTCTCGCGGGACTGCATGAAGCGCCAATCCAGAGGAACCCAGATTCCGCATACAGGATTAATGGTACCCGGCGGTCTTGGTGGTTGAGGCGCAAAACCCTTTTTTTTATACTGACACATTGGGGCACCGCGGTGGCGAGATGTTAACTACCTCGCCTGGTATTCAAGAGGTCGTGGGTTCGATCCAGACCCTGACGCCTGTTATATATTTGGAGTTTGCGTGTCTCACCCCGTGGCCACGTGGATTATTCACCGGGTCCTCCGATTTTTCCTCCACATTTAGAAACACGCGTTTTGAGCATTTGGCCAACTGTGATGGCGGGCACAAGCCGGCGTGAGTAGGTTAAACGTTGAGTTTTATAAGGGCACCACGGGGTTGACCAGCCCCTCCCCACCCAGCCCCACCCCTCCCACCTCCCACCCAGCCCCTCCCCACCCTCCCCTTTCCACCCAGCCCTACCCCACCCTCCACACCCAGCCCCTCCCCACCCTCCCATCTCCACCCAGCCCCACCCCTCCCATTTTTGGATGCATGACGGACGGACACAATAATCCCATGTGGGCTGGTGTAACCAGGAGGTTCCTACCAGTATAAGTGCTCCGTTTGTAGGCTGAACATGAATCACATACCTCTCCTATTTATTCGTGCATTTGATTATTTCCTTGCCTATATTATCAGCTTGTGATCTAGATTAGTGCCGGATTAAATAACATTCACAATTGTGATTTGTAACTTTGATCGTTACCTGTGTATCGATAGTTAGATTTTAACGTGCAATTTCATTGAGGGACTCTGTGTTGTTGTCTTGGTGTGGTCTGGGACTGTTGTTGTTGTTTTGCTGCCTTTCCCAAGGATTGCATTTAGTGTTGAAAAATTGGCAGGAATGTATGTCCTTATGCAATTTGTCTTTAAATATTTTATTTATTTGTACATATTTATTTTTAGTGACTTGACCATCTGTTTCTCTATGTCGCACTGCTATCGTTTTATTGTTGTATTGTTGAATTGTTTGTTGTTGTAACTCGCTGACCCTGCCCCTTCCAGCATCTGTGAAAATTTTTCTTCATAGCCCATCAGATTCTTCCAGGATAACAAAACTAAATTCTGATTCTGATAAAAAAAAACATTTAGCTGCAATCGCTTATCCAACATTTCGTCTGGCCAGTTTGAAATAAATATACAACGTGACAAACAGAGCTCCCGCTAGTGTAGACAATTTTTCCACCAGCAGTGACATGGGCAGGTAATAGCAGGGCTGCACCTTTACCTATATTTATCCAGGAAAACCCACACGCTGCATTGATCAATTACAAGTGTTTGCGACGCCAGAGGAAACGTGAATAATCGTGGAAGTCCGCGCATACACGGGGAATGTCACTCGGAGCTCTGCTCCGACACACATGCACTCATGGAATTACAATTCTGTCTCTGCTTGTCGCGTCCTTGCAGTCCAAACCCTAACAGCATCTGGTATGTGCAGGCAGCCTGCCATCCGAGTACTTAACTCCTGAGACCCGACGAGTCGCTGGGCAGCGGCACTCGGGGAAGTTTGCTCCCAGGTAGCGCAGCGACGAGAGCTGCTGATCGCAGCCAGGCTCAAGGAAAAGTTTGCACAGCAACTCGATCTATTTTGAGCTTCAGCCCAAAGCCCTCTCTTTTTCCGCTACCACTGTAATCTGTACGCATCCATTGAACAACGCAGGGGTCTGATTGCGGGAAAGAAGAAATGGCCGGTCATAAACAGACTGGCTGCAGCAAGAATGACAGATTATACGTGCAACAGGTATTCCTATATTTGCTTAGCGTGTCTGCCTGGCTACTTTTGAAGTGTTTTAAATTGCAAACAAGGCGGTTAAAACATCAGACTGCAGTGTTTTCTGTCTTGGAAGAAGGCGTATTTGTTGTAAATGGGAAAGTTCCGTTGTGCCACCACAGCAGCGAATGTGAGGAACTTACATGCACAGTCCAAAATGTTTAGGTTAATTAAAGTCTCATGTCATCGCCTCTAACAACTGCCGTTTTTAATTCTCATTTAAGCTGCCAGTGACTAAAAAGTTACTCATAATAATTCTTAAATATAATGAATTGAGGCAGGTGAGCGCAGCGACGCGGGCGTCGTGCTAGAACAATTATGAAGGATGTTATTGTTGTGAAATTTTGTCAAAGTGACAGCAGGAACCTCACTGAAAATGGGAACGAGTAAAATGTTCTACGTTCAGCCAAACTGTAATACTGACGACACAAGTGCAGCGTGTGCAGCAGTTACCTACGCTCCCTTTGACGACGTGTCAACAATGTTATCCAAACAGATTCAATGTATATAAGAAGGCAAAGGTGCAGCCACGGAATTGCGAGCTCATGCCACTGCTGGCAGAAGGGCCTCCGCAAGATAAAACTTTCGAGAGCCCCTCTCGAGGGATTTGGCCTACTCTTCCACGCTGCCCAGAGCTTGGGAGTACCCATACTTTACCCCACCACACGTGACCTGCCTCTTGACTAATTGCTGCGTACCCACATAACAGAATCAGAATATTTATTGACACTGGAGGATTCCGATGAGCCGTGAAGATCTTTTTCACAGATGCCGAGTAAGGGTGGCTCAGAAAGTTACAACAACAAACAATACAAAAAACACAATAGGAATGTAATGTATAGGAAAGCGAAGCAAATCAGTAATATACTATCAGGCAAAGCCCACTGGCTATTAGGTTTTTCAGAAACAACCTGGCCACAGACGTGGAAGGATTTCATAAATTCTCCCATTGATTCAACGGCAATACTGGGAGATCGGATCGATCCGGCGACCTATGGATTGTGAGGTCATGGCGACATCCCAATGCATTTAATTGGTGAAGGTTTGCTAATAATATTCTCCCAATGTGTTGTGCATTATTAGAAGAAGAAAAAAAAACATTCGCTCCGGAAAAATCATTCTGGAAATGATATCGTAAACATGTAGCAGTCAAATTTTGATTTTAAGCTTTCGTGACTGCAGGAATTCATATTATTGGTTCTTTCGGTAAAGTCACATAGAAGGGAAATAATATTATAATAGAAATATAAAACAATAAAATTCTCACGACGTTTCGATTGCTTGTGTTGCAGTCGAAACGTCGTGAGAATGTTATTGTTTAATATTTGTATTATTATATTATTTCTCTTCTACATGACTTTACCGAAAGAACCAAGAATATGTAGCAGTCAGTTAGCTTTAATGTCAGGCTAATAACACTGAGTCTGTGCTCTGCAGTTGCCTGGATGAAAAGTGGGCGAGGTTTTTTCCCAATCCTGGCCAGCTGGCTCAACAACTTAATAAGTGAATGAATGGTCTGGAGCTAAATGCATGATAGACAACAACGGCACCCTAAAGTTACGGTGACCTACAATTACGGACGAAAGTAAAGGTAGCGCACGGTAATGGTAACGTATAGTAGCAATAATGTTGAGTTAAATCTTGACTTAAAGCTTTCGCGACTGCAGGAATTGATATTATTTGGGTCTTTCAGTAACTGTACCTTACCATAATGGTAACGTAAAGTTACCGTTATATATTCTTCTTCGCAGTTCGCGTCCATTTAAAGTGTATGTAACATCGATCGTGTTGAACTACCAAAGCGGCCTCGCTGCCTTGTCAGTGGCAGGAAAAACAACTTTTTATTTGACCAGGTAAAGCTCACTGAGCTATATATCTCTTTTCAGAGGCGACCTGACCACAAATGACAGCTCAACAAAGTGGCTTATCGCGTCGACTTTTATCGCGGCCAAATACCTTAAATGCCCGTCGATTCTAAATGCGTGAAGGAAAATCGGAGGATCTGGAGAAAATCTACACGCGACCACGGGGAGAGTGAGAACACGCAAACTCCAAATATACAACGCGCGTCGGGGTTTAGGCATCGAACCCACGACCTCCTGTACACCGGGCGAGGTAGTTAACATCTCGCCCAGAGAGAAAGTGCGGCGAGCTGTTTGAGCGCGATGGCTCGGGGGCCTTGCCTGTCGCGGCGTGCGCTCCGACTTGCTGCGGCACCACTCCCACTCGAGGCCGTCCGAGTGGAGGCCGTCGTGCAGGTAGAGGCCGCTGCGCGTGGTCCGGTCCCCGTGGAGGCCGTCGGCCCCGCTCTCGGAGCGGCGGCCCTCCCTGGCCCCGAAGCGTTTCTGCGTCTGCCCGCCGAACATCGCCGACACCTCGTCGCGGAAGTCGCACGGCTGGGCGTAGCGCGGCGGCGACACCTCGGCGTTCACCACCTGCGACTTTGGCACCGAGGCCACCTCCACCCGGGCCGACGAGTACGGCTGGGACCGGAGTGGCACGGCGGTTCCCGTGCCGGTGCCGACGCCGACGCCGCCGATGCCCCCGACGCCGCAGCTGGCATGCTCCGAGTCCTTGGCCGATTGGTTGGGCAGGATGTTGACCTTGTCGTTGTTGAAGAAGTACTTCTTGGGAGAGATGTGGTCGGCTCGGTACATCTCGTAACCCTTGTGGAAGGAGAGGTCGATGCCCAGCGCCACGCTCTGCCCTGCTAGGAGACACAGTGGAAGCGCGGCACGGGTGTTATCCCAGCCTTGTTATTATTAGTTTTACAGTTCGGGCCTTTGGCTGTGGGTCACTAATGGAGATTGCGCCGTCCCAGTGCTCACTGGAGCGTGGTGACGCGTTTAGTTTGATTTCCACGCGTGCTCTGTTTGTTCTGCTTCGTGTGGCGACCTACAGCTAGCTTTCATTATTCACTAAATGAATCCTGCGAAAAAAATGAATTTTCCATCAACATTATATCGTCACGGCTTACTTACTGGTACATTTCAAATTTTGAGATGTGGTTTACGGCGATGGCACAGAGTGGTTTGTTTGTAAATATTCCCACATTGTCATTATAAGCAATTTACTCGCGTGAATATAAATGTGTCGCTAAACCCGCCACCACCCAACACAGGCAATGAGTAAGGTTTGTTATGTTAACAAAGCGTGCCAATTGGTTACTAGTTCAGCACGCCGGTGTATTGGAGAGTAAACCCACAACATTTATAATTCGATCCCACCCAAAAAAAAAACTTATGTGTAATATTGGTTGCGAATGCCTGTGTGTCAAGCATTACTCAAGGTCACTCGGTGGCTCAGAGGTCAAGAATGCCAAGCTGGCACCACTGTGATCCTGGGGCTCAGATCCAAACCCACCACCACCACCACCTGTGATTGCAGTGACAAAACTACGTGAATAAATGTATGAAGGAGTTTTCTGATATCCGCTTCCGTGTGGTGGTTATAACAAAGCGGGGAGGAGGGGGGGATGTATTGCTTCATGACATGACACCGATAGCACAATTGGGATACAATATCTATATGTAGTATTTGATTCGCATTTGTTCTCAACAAACATTCCGCAGATTAGGGCCAGCATGGTTCATTCGATGTCGGCAGAAAGCTGCTGATGTTTGCAAATGTTGCAGAGCAATGTCGGTAAAGTGTACCATGAACAACGAGGCAACGATTTTGTTGTTGTTGTTGCAGTCACGATGCTTCATGGTCTGTGCATACAGATGTACATCGATTCCACGCTATTCCTATTGATTCCTTGCATCACTGGATACATCGTCATTGACGGCTGCGCCCCGCGCTTGATATATATCTTTTTCGCGTGCGCATCTTGCGTTTTGTCGGCGTTCGTCGTAACTTTTGCTTGTGCTCGGAACATTACGCACGCACGCCTGTCGATGTAGATGCAACCCCCCACTGCCTTTGCCTGTTTGGGCAGGGAAGTCACTTTATCATGGGACCTTTTTTTGCCAGTATCAAAGTATTAAAAATAAGAATAGGTTTTTTATCTTTTCTGGCAATAAATCTGTTCGCGTTTTGGCTAGGCCATGAAGAAGGCTGTTTCTGGTGTAAGCCAATCAGTTTGAAAAACAATGCAAATATAATTATCAGAGCATGTTTTAATCGTGATTTGAAGCTTTCGTGATTGCAGGATTATGCATCGCTCGGTGTTTCTTTTGCTGACCGTTCAGTTTTTTGCTCACATCTTTTTTTGTTGCTGATTATCAAGTTTCTCGACCATATGTCATCACAGGTCGCGGATACTCACCGATGTGAAAATGAAATCGTACACGTGGGCATCGAGCCATTACAGGTGTGGCTGCTGTGGTGACAAAATAGCCACGAGGGCTGATGTGTACACAGGGTCTCATCCGCAAACCACTTTTTGTCCTCGAGTTAAACGCTGAATGAATAACAGACAAACACATTTCGATAAATCAATATTAGCACGACGACGATGATGATGATGATTTTTAAGCTATCGTATTTCATCCACGTGTCAATAGATGCCACTAGGGTGCAATGACACCCAATCAATTAAATATTTGGCCAATTTCGACGTCAGGTCATGCCCTTAAAAAAAAACATCTTTCATTTTAGAAAGAGATACTCTTCTGGTGATTTTTGGTGGATTGCTTATCCTTCTACTGTTAGCAAAACAACGGTAATATTATCCGTTCGCTGCACGTAACAGGCGTTTGTGGGTCAAGCCCATTGGCCACCCTGGTTAATAATGGGAGTGTACTGACCGTCAATAAGTGCCTTCTGCTTCAACGGATGCTAAAGATCCCGTGATGGTATGAGAATAAGAGTAGGGCACGTGTCCTAGGGTTACAGCATGAAAAATAACACTGGTCAACACACTTTTTCTGGCATAAGGTATTCCAACGGTTTTAAGTTAATTTTGGGGGTGCTGATTCCAAATCTGGCATCTGGTTTCTGAGATATCAAATATTGCATTTTCAATAAAAACTGCAGAAGAAAAATATTAAATAAATGTGGATATCTACATAAAATTTTATTATAAACACACTATCCTAAAAATACAGCACCATATTTTAACACTAAAGTAGTCACTGACTCGCAACAACTTGCAATCTTAAGTGACGAATTAATTTCGGGTAAAATCTATGAAAATGGGGTATGCCGATAGCATAAAAATGATGTGATAGAGCAAATCTGAGATCAGATTTGGAATTAGCACCCTGAAATTAGTCTAAAACAGCTGCAAAAGTCCAGGCCAGAAAAAAATGTTTTTTTTGTTGACCAGTGTAATATTACTTTGCTCACGTAGTTCTTGATTGTGAAAAAAAACCACGTCACACACCACTGCACCCAGAGATAGCTGCCACAGGAAAGTCCCCTTGGCTAGGCTACCATCAGCACAATCGAATGGTTGAGATGTGACGCGAGGTGCTTTGAGCTGCTATCGCATTTAAACGATCTGAATCTTTATCTGTAACGTCTAAAATCGATTCAAAACTAGGCTTGTCCGGGTGTCCTTTACGCGACAACATAACCCTTTCCCGTTCCGAGATGTCTGCAAGTTGCAGGGTGTGAGTCCCGTTTACCTCTGAATCCCAGAATGCGCTAGCGGCTCAGCATTAATTTTATTTAGAGAGGCGTTGCGCCGTTGTTTTTAAAGACGTTGTTACCCACCGCAGAGAACTGTAGCGACACGACCGCTGCACTCTATGATATCCGGTTCCAAACTGTGCCACACGCCCTCCTCATGGCCTTGTGGGAGCCTCAGTACCGATTAAGTTAATTTAGTTTTTTTTTCCGGTTTCGTTTTTATGACGTGCACTTGCGTAGCGCCGTTGTTTTTCACGTACGTAGCGCCATTGATTCCAGCCCGATGACATACACGTACGTCATCGTACTGGAATCAGATTAAAGGGTTACGAGACGGAGACTGACAGACAGAGGGACACGCACGCACGGAAAAGATGCGGTCAGGCGCTGACGTCGCTCACCCTTGTCGAGCTCCGGGTTCATCGCGTAGGTGTTGCGTTGGCAGTTGATGATGCAGCCGCACGGCAGGTGCAACCACTTGCGGGACAGGATGAGCAGGGGCGACAGGAGCATGGCGAACAGCGAGAGGATGAAGCTGAGCTCCTCGGAGGACGGGCTCGGTCGGCCTGTGCTGAACTGCAGCGCCAGGTGAATCTGGCGTCGGAGAAGTGGGGGAAAGGAATGGCATCCAAATCAAGTCGTGAGTGTGCACGGCGCGGGTGCGCACTCTGTCCTGCGTCGGTCTCGTGTGCACAGTGGCAGGGATCGCTCCCACTCTGTGACTCGTTGCGGTTGCAAGCACGTGGAATCGAAAGCTCTCAGATCCCCGTTTCCTCCAACATGTAAAACACTCATTATTTGGCCGACAACTTAATATATAGAGGACCGCAGAGCTTGGTCAGTTGTTGGTGTCAGCTAGCCGCGTGGCTGCCTTTGCCGCTCGTCCGTGGTTTCTCCTCGCGCCTCTGAGTTCTTCCCCCTCTACGAGAGCGAGCGGACACTGTGGTGGCGTTACATGTCGAAGTTTGCATTATCTGCAAACTCGAGTATGTTCGTGGCGTCCTACTTGATGGCACACTCGTTTCAATGTTTTGTATATGGAACAGAGGATCTGCTTGCAATAGATCATCAGCCTATGGTTAAGGAAATTCCTCCAGAAGGCCTGGTAAAATGTCTTGGAAAGGTGGGAATACCCACACTGCACTTCAACATAGTTCGTGAGCTAGAGCAGAATTCGATATCAGTGGGGGTGGTAAATATTGAGTGACATCAGTTGGTGTACATGGCCAATGAAAGTAAAGATGTTGACACAACCCAAGTTGCTACCTCTCAGGTAGTATCAACAAGGAAAATATTCGGTCTGTGCAGAATATTCGACCTGCTGATCGACTGACTGTGGTGTAACTATTTATACCACGGGGTGGACACGGATGGGGGATTCAGGACCCCTGCCCCATTGCTTCAACTGCCACGCCGAGAGGTCAAACCTCCCAACCTCGGGATTGCAACACAACACGGCAGCATCCGGTCATGAAATAATGCCACATTACTCTTTACTGATGACCCCAATTCGTACCGTACACAATCATGACAGCTGCACAGGTTGCCACAAATGAAAATCCCACGGGAAAAAAAACGAAATTCATCGGTGTTGCGCTTTGCCATATGCGCACACCGAAATCAGCAGCGACGTGTAGTAGCAAACCCTTCATTGCACAGGCCAATACAGTGCGCTCCTCGCATTAGCGAGAGGACGCTTGCAATTCTATTGAGAGCTCCTGCCAAGACAAATGATCCGCGCGAATCAACCTCCGAAATCGACCAAGTGTAGCGTTACAGTCGATAGCCACGGTGTCAAATTGTTGAGGCTCGGAGACCCAGTGGTAGCCTTGGGTGGAAGTGTAAATAGATTGATGCAACTTAAAAAATATATATTTAATAATAAAAAATCTGCACTGGAAATTTGTCATTTATTACCAGTCGACCCAGGCTTCGCTGGTTTTAGTCTAAAGCCACTGCCTTGGTTCTACTCTTTATGGGCGCACAATTTCTGCGCAGGATTGATCAAGGCTCATTTTGCTTCAAGATGAAATTGTAACATGTTGCCGTTGCAGCGTCAGGCTTACCGACGTGTTCATGAGTCGCGTGCAAAACCTCCCAACACATTCCGAGCTCTGTAAACGGTAACACGGTTGAGGTGGAGTGCTACAATTGTTTCCCACGTTGAGCGCCGGCGGAAGGGGTTTAGAAAGCCCCTCTCGTACAGCGTCCTTCACTCATTTTCAGAGATGGGAGGGGGCTACTTTAATCGATAAGACATCATCAGTCCGAGGATCGCCACACATTTGAAACCATTGGGGGGTTGGACACTAGCACGATGGTCATGGGGGTGTTTTCACTCTTTGTGTATTGTCGGAGAGCCGCTGGGTTAGGGGCCGCACTAAAGGCCACCAGGGGCCGCCCTAAAGGCCACCAGGAGCCGCACTAAAGGCCACCAGGGGCCGCACTAAAGGCCACCAGGGGCCGCACTAAAGGCCACAAGGGGCCTCACTAAAGGCCACCAGGGGCCTCACTAAAGACCAACAGGGGCCGCACTAAAGGCCACCAGGAGCCGCACTAAAGGCCACCAGGGGCCTCACTAAAGGCCACCAGGGGCCTCACTAAAGGCCACCAGGGGCCGCACTAAAGGCCACCAGGAGCCGCACTAAAGGCCACCAGGGGCCGCACTAAAGGCCATCAGGGGCCGCACTAAAGGCCATCAGGGGCCGCACTAAAGGCCACCAGGGGCCGCACTAAAGGCCACCAGGAGCCGCACTAAAGGCCACCAGGGGCCACACTAAAGGCCACCAGGGGCCACACTAAAGGCCACCAGGGGCCGCACTAAAGGCCACCAGGGGCCACACTAAAGGCCACCAGGAGCCGCACTAAAGGCCACCAGGGGCCGCACTAAAGGCCACCAGGAGCCGCACTAAAGGCCACCAGGGGCCACACTAAAGGCCACCAGGAGCCACACTAAAGGCCACCAGGGGCCACACTAAAGGCCACCAGGAGCCGCACTAAAGGCCACCAGGGGCCACACTAAAGGCCACCAGGAGCCGCACTAAAGGCCACCAGGGGCCGCACTAAAGGCCACCAGGGGCCGCACTAAAGGCCATCAGGGGCCGCACTAAAGGCCACCAGGGGCCGCACTAAAGGCCATCAGGGGCCGCACTAAAGGCCACCAGGAGCCGCACTAAAGGCCACCAGGGGCCGCACTAAAGGCCACCAGGGGCCGCACTAAAGGCCACCAGGGGCCGCACTAAAGGCCACCAGGGGCCGCACTAAAGGCCACCAGGGGCCACCAGTGGCCTGCGGGCCTTGCGATGAAGAACGCCGCTCTAAACGGAATCTCTGCTGCTGCTCTCCCACGCTGGAAAGACATCTTAGAAGAGGCGAGGGTTTTACCCACGCTTTACCCCACCGCGCGTGACAAGCGGTAATGTTCCTGCCGGGTGAACAGAGGAGGTGGAATAGATGGGGGGTGGGGTTGGATTTTATTAAATGTGCCCATTCTTTCAACTTTCTCGCCAGGAGATTGAATCAAACGGGCGATCTGTGGATTGCAAGTCCAGCGTGATGTCCGTTACGCCGCAGTGGCAGCGTCCTTGAGCTCTGCAATTCTGCTGCATTCAGGTGTGCACGATGACTCTGCCTTCCAGGCAAGGCATTCGTTATATTGACCATTGGCAGGGCCGGATTAAGATTGTGTAGGCCCCTCGGGCTACAGGTACTGTGAGGCCCCCAGTAATATTTTCAAAAGAAAAACAAAGTTAAAGAAAAATAAAATGTTTACAAGGCTAACAACAAATCAAATTCAGCATTCATGAATGAAATAACTTTTCACTTAATCTCTGGAGGCCGTCCAGCCCCTTGGCTGCAGCACCTAAAGCCACCGTGCCTTAATCCGGCACTGACCATTGGCTGTGGAACTCAAAACCGCATGGCATGGAATGATCTGCCTCACTTTCCACTTGCTGTGATGTATCCTTACCCAGGAAGGGATGCTGATGTTTTGTTCAATAGTGATTGTCCCTCAGGGAATCCTATTGGGAGATTTGCTCTCACAACGCGATACGTTTATGCGTTGGCAGTACCACTGTTAACCTTTTCTTTATGTGATGGGGGCCTGGTGGAATATTCAAGACACGAGGGACTAGAGTGTTAACTACCTCGCGACAGGAGGTCGTGGGTTCGATCCCAACCCTGACGCCTGTATATATGGAGTGTGTGTGTGTGTTCTCTCTGTGGTCGCGTGGATTTTTCTCCGGGTCCACCGTTTTTTTCTCTCCAACTAGAATCAACATCACGCGTTTAGAGTATTTGGCTGCTATAAATGTCCACGTGACAAGCCACTTACTTGAGCTATCATTTGTGGCCAGATCGCTTCTGAAAAAGATCTATATAGCTTAGGGGCCCTTAACTGGTTATATATATATTAGTATTCGTATAGTACATCCCATAACTTCGGTTTTTGGATGTATTACGAGGTTTCACTTCTACGATGAGAAGCCTGTAACCCCATGCAACCCTAAACAACAGTCGGACAGTGTCCCACGTTCCTAAATTTAAACAAAATTCGCAATCTATGTCTCCTTCATATATCTGTCTCTCCACATATAATACATTTAAAGTCTTCACCACACAATCCATCTGCCCACGGAATTCTGGGAGTGAATAGTTTCAGCAGCATGTATTCAATACAAACAAAATCTGGACCGGTTTTGACATACAGTGTCTCATTAGCAGGGTCAGGCTTGCTTGAATCAAGGCTGGAGAGCTGCCAGCTGTTAAAGGCAAGCACTCTGTCTTTAAAATATTTATATCCAAAAAGTTGCACGCAAGATTGTATATAGTAATGCATCACCGAATGCTTATTAGTGTTGCTATGGGGAATTTAAGTTGTGGAACAGATAAGCATACACTACGTCTCTACATTCAAATAAATAAATAAAAGTATTCACTTCCCTTAGTTCCCTCTCGCAAAAGTTTGCTTTTGAATCTACACATCGTGGTCAATGCAGTATTTATGGTATCTGCTCCTTGCACAGTGCCTTCAGAACCATGCCATGTTTTGCATTAGACGACCTACTGCAGTGAGACGTAATTAAACTTCGAACCTGCAGGACATGTATTTATTACATATTTTTTTGCGTTAAACTGACACCCACGTCTAACAGAAAGGCTCCTAGCAAATACACCACTGGCAGTTTACAGAAATTGGTTTAAACAATCTCGACTGCTGATGAAACACAGTTGAAACCGGTTCAGAGTGCGCTTGAGTTGAACTCATGCTGCTGAAAGTATGCACTCTCAGGGGGCCTTGTGGCTGATGAGACGGATCTGTGAAGGCCTTATCTGCTGCATTCGTTCATGAAATCAACGAAGGAAAAAATGAGAAAAGAGGGAGGCCTTAGCCCAGGAGTGGTCAATCTAACCGACAACAGCGACCTGTTGTGAGTTTGCATTGTGGGCAAATGGCCACTCCCTGCAGTTGTCCACCCGATCAATTTTGACGCGAAGAATATTGACGCAGGGGTTCAATTCTCGCACTCATTGCTGTCAGCGAGCTTCGCATCGTTGTGCGGATATTTGTGTTGCTGCCACCGGTGGCCGTG